AACCATGTTGGTATTTGTGTTGACAAAAGTGCTCCTCGCCTTAGCGATCCTTGTAAGATTTCTTTGTTTGTCGTCTTTTGTTCCGATTTATTTACTGATGGTTTGGCCTCGTGTTTCTGCGTTTATTTGTCTTGAAATGCATGCACAGCTTATGTGTTTATTTGTATTGATAGTTCTCCCTTTCTTTTTAGTAAAAGCATTGCCCGCTTCGAGAAGAAAAAGGCTGAGCCGTCCAGCAAACCAACCAGCCACCTCATCCCTCAGGGGTCTGCAGAAGGTTCTGATTCGGCTACTCCCGTTGCGGCAGTCGAGACGACTGTCGCCAAAAAATCTAAAGTGGTACTCCCTTCAGCCTCCAAACCGGGTCAAACGACAGGCTCTCACTCTCACAAGAGGCCCCAGAACCGAGAGGAGACAACTTTGGGGTCCGACCCCTCGAAGCGCTCGAGAGGGAAAGAGACGGTAGTCGAGAGAGACGCGGGACAGCCGTCCTCCGTTAGGGTGCAGCCTGTTACCCTTCAACAACCCTCGCGACTTTACGACAACCCCGATTCCCTTCAAATTCTTAACTACCTCCACTCGACCATCCCTGAAGATGATCAAGTTCGAACCGACAGCGACCCCTGTCTTCGGGCCCGCTATGCCGCTCGGCTTATTCCTCGAGTAAGTTCAACTTCTCTTCTTTTCTCTCCCCTCCTTTTTTTTATATGTTGTCTACTCACCAATTTATTCGTTCTTTTCAGCTTCTTGCTTGCATACTTTCCACTATGATCGAGGAAGCGTCTTCCCCTGGGAACAACATCAAGGTCCTGAGGGATAAATACGCGTCTAAGTGCCAGGAGCTCGAGGCGAAGGAGGAGGAGCTCGAGGCTGCGAATGCCATCATAGCCAAGCTCCGTTCTGAGAAGGAGGCGGCTGTCCGAAAGGCTGAGCGGCTGAGGGTCGACTTGGTCAAGGCCAACGACGAGATCCTGGTCGAGAAGGAAAATGGGATAGAGGAAGGTCGACGGACCTTCCTGAAGTCCACTGCAGGAGCGATTTTTCTTGATCACTACCGTCAGGCCGTGGTCGAGGGATTCTGCTCCTCAGAAGAGTTGCTTGACAAACTTGTTCCCGCGGCTGTCCAGTACTTCGACTACGCCTGTGACACGTGGGAACAGGCT